AGTTGCAACGAGTTTTATACAAATTGATAGAACGGCTAACGAGATACACATAAGTGGTCATAAAGAGGCACGCAAATTTTTCCAAAAATTTGTCGTAAGGTCCTTTCTTGCTAAAAAGTTATTGCGAAGATCAATTTCGAATGAATTAGCTCCAGTTGTTACTGATTTATCGAAGATTTTGTATTACTTGTTTTTGTTATTTTATTTATATTCAAACATTTTTATTGAGTTTTAGGCTATTGTGAAAAGGCAACAATAATTTTGAAAAATGGTAGAAGTGATAGCTATTTCGGAAATCACCACAAATGGCTTCACAAATGAAAAAGTGGGAAAAAGCAACAAGAATTTACAAGGCGAACTTAGCACGGTGCGTAGGCAACTGGCTAAGTCAATTGGGGTCGTTGGATCGAATCCCACTGAAAGACGTCTGATTTTTTCAAAATTATTTTCTTTCTATTTCTTTTCCACAATAGTTCTTCATTAAAAACGGCCTCAAGCTCAATTAAAATTGTTGGATTTTGTATTACTCTAAATTACCATTACATGGAATGTAGGCGAGGTTATTGTCCGATTAAAAAAATTGTCAGTTGTTTGGTACCTATATTTTACCAAGGCCAACAATTGCGCCAACTTTTGGGAGAAATTTGTGGAGCGGTTACCGAAATATACACATGAAACCATAGGTGGGCGGGGCTACACCGATTTTCCATTGACTCACAAAATGCTTATTTTCCGCCAAAATGTCATTGCAAATATAAATGTTGAGTAAATAAGCTTCTTTAGTTACTATAATATCGCAGTTTTCGTATTTCTGAAAGTTACCGTTATATGGGAGGTAGGCGTGGTTATTATTCCATTTGTCCTATTTTCAGTACCATTCTACGTTCAAAAGAAGTACACGCACCAAGTTTCGTTAAGATATCGCAATTTTTACTCGAGTTATCGTGTGCCCAGACGGACAGACAGTCACGGCTTAATCGATTTCTCTTTTCATTCTGAGCATTATATATGTATAAATTTTTTTATATATATCTATCTCGATTCCTTCAGCCTGTTACAAACAACCGTTATGTGAACAAATTTATAAATTATAATACCCTTGGGCACAAGGGCGCAAGTGCGCTCGGGTGTAAAAAGTAAAGCATGAAACTAAAGGGTAGTTTATGTTTAACGGCCTTCCTTTCTTTACAATATTCCTGCTTCTCTTAACTTACCTTATATTATTTTTAAGTTAGTGAAACAAATATTTGTCATAAAAATCCGTTTTTAGCTTTCTATGCGAAAATAAGGTAATGTTACTATCCAAAACATTAGAAAATGAGAAATTCCCGGTTTCTTCGAGCATTTTCGGTCTTCTTTCCATAAAAACACTTATGTTGTCCCATATACTCTCCTTTATACATGTTTTTTAAGTGGAACATTTTTTGTAACATAAAAGTCTTTTACTATGTGAACTTTTAGGTAATTTTTTTTTTTTTTAATTTGGTTATACAGAAGCTCATTTCGCAAGCAACATTGGGTAGGTTCAGAAGGCGCAGCAGTTGAGCGCAGCCATTGCTAAAAAAATCAGTAATCGTAATGCGTCTTCTGAACGGCTTGATACATTAGCTGTCAAATTCAACAACACACAACATGTTGTCTCAGATGATCAGAAAAATATTACGATCATCTAACAAACAACTGTTCAGTTGATCAGAAGTACAAAACAACGCGTTCAGAAGGTGCAATCGAAACAGTTACTGAGCTGTTGCGCCTTCTGAACGTGCCCATTGTAAGCTATACGCCTTGTTATTGTCACAAAGCTAAACTTAATCTTCTGTGGAAATAATACATAGAAAATTAACAAACAAAAAATCGCACGAATCCGATTACTTCAAGAAGGAACGAGCCCAAAAGGACCGAGGTAAGAGTTAAAAGAAGAAAAATAATTTTCGATCAAATAATAAAAATCTATTGTAACTATTTTGCCTATCTATTCTAGTACTATTATTATTTGACATGCACACACGAATGGTGCTCTCCTTCGCTTTCATGAAGATGTATACCTCTATAGATAATAACCTCTGCCATTCAATTTGTATGAGGTTGGTATGAATCTTTGCATCCCACAAACAAGAACCTCTGCCTTAAAAGAAGGGACCGTAAATAACAGTTAATTTTTTTTCAACAGCTAAACTTGGCCAGGTATTTTTAAGTCGAAAATAAAAGTCCTTTTCTAATAATAAACAAACCGCTTATCCAAATTAAACAAGTTTGGTATTTGTAAAAACAATTTTGGTTAATTTTATTGGTTTTCTAACTGCATATTATAATGCAAAAATATCAACTGATTAAAGGCATCATCATTTGACAAAAGGTGACATCTTTTGTCAGAAATAACATTTCCGGCAGAATAAAAAACTCTTTCTGACGATGCGCTATTTGAAGGAGTGGCAATTATTCTACGACTGAGTTTATGCAGCAGCGGCATTTCGCATTTGTGTACCTCCCACCAATTAATTATATCGAAGTCCGTATGAAAATATACCTCAATATTTTCATATCGCCGCAGCTCTGCAGTAGCTTTATCAGTTCTGCTCACAAAGGTAGGTTGTTTAAGAAGACCTGAAAACAGCTCAAAGTTGTCTGAAGGTAACAAAGGTGTATTCGCAATTTGTGGTTCCGTTTTACTGTCAGAATTCTCAGTTAACGTTCTCGTAATTTGTAAACATTTCTCTTTTTTGTACCTTTACTCTGATTCGGTAAAGTTCTTGAGCTCTTTTGCTGGCGGGTATAAAAAAAGCGCAATTTTGTGCAAATCTGTAAGTTTTCAACAGCAACTTAATTTTCAAGTCTCTTATAGAGCTGATGTCTTCTGGGATAACAGTTCTTTTGTAGACTAGTTATATAAATCTACGTCAGGTGGATAATTAAATAATTTAGTAAAACTAATATTTATATTTAAAAAAATACTTCTTTAATATTAATTTTTTTCAAAATTGTCGTATTCTCTACCATGATAAAGACATTTCAAGGTAAAACCATTCTCTCAATTCGTCGGCCATGTTTTTTTTTGAAGTTTGCCAACATTATAAAGTGTTCGCCTTAAGAGCGAAGCAAATGCCAATTGAAAAAAAAATATTAAAAGTAAATACAAAAAATATTATTTGAATCTTGAGCAGCTGTATTTGTGCTTGAAGTTAAAAAATTAAAACCATGAGTTGCTGTTTTAAGGGATGCGTAAATACTATCCACCTCTGCAAGAATATAATATTAAATTCTTTAGTTTCCCCCAATTACCATATATTCGCGAAAAATGGATTGAGGTTTGTGGAGTAAGTAAGGAGGACTTACCCAACCGCCCTTTCGTATGCTCGCTACATTTTTTTGGAAAGGACATTATTTATCGTAATAAGAAAGTCATGCTTAGTAAAAGTGCTGTTCCAAAGTAAATTTCGTTTTGATTTTATGTTCAAAAATAACCATATTTTCTTAACAGCACGTTTGTGCAATATCAAACGCAGTCGCATATGGAAGTGGAATCTGTTGGGGAAGAGATATCCAACATCCATCAAGGAACCATTGCTACACAAACTGAGTTTGTATTTTACAAAGAATAGTTAACAATAATATGATTTAAATGTAATTCATCTCATTAGAGATTACATGGACGTTTACTTTCTGGAAACCATTACATTAAAAAAGGAAATTAAGCGGCTTTCCGAAGAAAATGCCGCTTTAAAATACAAAGTAGATATACAGAAAAAAGAAGCTCATTTTTTTCTGAAAACCAACATAAAATATTTCAGGACACTCCTCTTTTGCCAAGATATGACGTCAGTGATATATCTTCGGCAATTTGTATTTATTCAGCAGGACCACTGCTACAAACTCTTACGTAAAAAGGGCTACCTGCTACCTTCACCAACTACGTTAAGAAGGTGGGCTGCAAAATTTAATGTTGAACCGGGTATCCAAGAGGAAACTTTGAAGCATATGAGTGCTCTTGATTTAGAGCTCGAAGACAAGATGTGCGTTTTGCCATTCGACGAGATGAAGGTCCGCGAAGAATGGGCCTATGACAGGAAAACGGATATTATAATTTCACCAAAGAGGCAAGTGCAGGTAGCAATGGTTCGCGGACTTCGTCGTCGCTGGAAGCAACCAATTTACTACCAATTTGATGCAAAAATGACACAGAGTTGTATGGGTGAAATCATCACAAAACTATATAAAATTGGGTTCACTGTTGTTGCTGTTGTCTGTGATCTTGGACCTGAAAACCAGTCCGTTTGGAGGAATATGGGTGTCGGCCACGATAAATGTTATTTTTCTCATCCATCAGATGAGACCAAAAAAATTTTCGTTTTTTGCGATCCTCCCAATTTAATTAAATTATTGCGTAACCATTTCGTTGATGATGGCGTTATATTTAAAAACACATTCCTAAGCAAGTATGTTGTGCAAGAACTTGTTTCACGGTGCGATTCTGACCTCACCATAACCAAAACCTTAACTTTAGAAATGCTTAATGTAAAAGGGGCAGGTAAATCCATATATTTATCTGACTCACATGCACATACATATATGTATGTTTGTATGCATTTATAGCGAGTTCCTATTTTACAGAGCGTCAAAAAGTGCGTTACGCCACAAAACTATTCTCACACACATGTGCCAGCGCCCTTATAAGAACAGCTCAACACGGTCTATGTAGAGATGCTGACGAGTTTTTAAAGTGCGCCGAACTTTTCCAAATTATAAATGACTGGTATGATGTGTTTAACGTAAGCTGCATTCAGCATGACTCGCGACCATTACGAGCTGCATTTGGGCTCTATATGTCCGAACAAATGCGTCCAATTGACCAAATGAGTGAATTCGTACCCAATTTGCTAAATTTACGCCAGAACAGGTCGTTGCTGCCTTTTCAAAAAGGACTTTTGCAAAACAACAACGCCTTGCCCGCTCTTTACAACTACCTCCAAGAGCAATTTGGTATGCAATTTTTATTAACGGCGAAACTTAATCAAGATTGTGTGGAAAATTCTTCAGCGCCATTAAAACAAAAGGAGGTCTTCATGACCATCCCTCCCCTCTAGAATTTAAATACAGGTTGCGATCGTACATTTTAGGTATGCTTTATGCAATTTTGTATAAGGGACGAATATAATTATATATGTATGTAAATGTTTACAATAGGTCGCGATGACCATGTACTAAGCTATCATGCAAATGTGAAGGCAACTGAAGACGAAGTCCTAACCAACTTCGAAACAGACGAGACATTTTTAACTCAGCAGTTATACAGAGATGTTATAGAAAATGAAGAAAATACATTTGAAGAACTCTTAGATGTAAAGCTTCATTTCATGAAAATCTTTGTGAAGTATACACAAGGCACATAAATACAGGTAGAAGCCAAAATGACGTTGCTCTCATGAGAACCAAACCTTTAAACTTCAACTTGTTTTTCTTTTATTTCCTATATTTCGTTACGCTTTGAATGTCATATCGTTGTTTTTTTTTTTGAATGTTCGTTAATAACAAATTTTAATTAACATTTGAATTTTTGTAGTGTTGTGCAGTTTATACTTAATGTATGTGCAACACCGAAGCGTTGTTTTTTATGTGGTGTTAAATATGAAGCAGATACCATTTAACGTGCCTCAATGTCCTTCGCGTAAAGAGCGTTGCGAAAGCAGCTGTGGGCCAGAGCTGCAGCGAAATGCCTTGCTGTGCGTTAAACATTTTAAAGCAGCAGATTTCATAAATGCACCGGGAGGTACAGGAAAGGCACGTTTGATGCCAACCGCTGTTCCTATGACCCTTATGCCGGAAACTCCCTCCAACAACACTGCAGCTCATAAATTAAAAACATAAAACAACATACAAATTAACAAATTTTAACTAAAGAAAAATAAATAAATAGAAACAAAACTTCAAATTTACTCAAAAACGTCAACCAGCGAAATGTAATTTTTTATTTTTCCTTACACACGCTCATTTTTATTTTTACTCTCCCGAAAACTTTGACTTTTGTAGGTTTGATGTCAATTTGGCTTCTACCTGTTTTTATTGTACCATGAAGTATACATATGTATATACATGTATTTTCTTTTAATATATGTGCATAGATTTCCGAAGAACAAGATGCAACAGAAGTAGAAACCGCTTTATCAACATTGAATGATATAGAATTTGATGGATTGGAAAACTTTGGAGGATACCTTGTATCGAAATTAAAACTATCAGGATGTGGTGAAAGAACTGATAAAGAACAGCAAACAAATTACTCCTATGTAAACCAATTATCTGAGGGTGGGCTGTTTAAACCAAACAATAGTTTTATGGCCATTTTAGAAAATCTAAACCAAATATTTGTAAAGTACAATAGCGATAAATTAAATACTAACCCGCATTATTTGAGCAATCTCTTAAAACTTTCGAAGCATGTACAAATTGATGAACACGTAAAAAAACGATTTTTTGTTGGAAGAACTTTTTTTAAAATAAGATATCTGAAAAAACCTGAAAATCGAGAAAAATGCAACAAAAAAATGAAGAAAATCATTACATAAAAAGTTTAAAATAATTGTTTTATTTCCCGAACGACACTGCTCTTTACGCATATGCACATGATACAAAAATTAAATATTTTATCATCCACGTGCACATGTGTCCATATATTTATTTGAATATAGCGTAAAGGAACTCTGAAAAAGCAATTCATTGATTGTATCCAGACGATTTAGTTCCTGCCACCGGCGAGTATTGGATTGAAGCATTAGTTGTTTATCTGTAATCAAGGGACTCCGGCGGTATTTATGGTCATTTACAATTTCAACAAACATACAAACCTGTTAGCATTAAATGCTATTTTAGGACCTTTAATTTCACACATACATATGTACGAATTTTTATGAGCATAAACAAGATTGAATGTCTAAAAAATTATTAATATTTATTTGATTTGAACGGAAAAACAAAAGCAAAACAATCAGACAAAATGAGAGTGTGAGACTAAATGGTTTGCAAACGTCAAAAATGTTCAAACTGCCTCTCAATGGTTTTACCTTGTATAGTTTTATCATGTTCTCTACTAATTGTGTAAAGTCAATGAGCGTCATTCGTTTGCTCGACTTGCTTTTCATAACAGCGTTTTTCATTCGGTTGACTTGATTTGGAAAGAGTAAATCAATGCCATATTTGAAATCAAATGAGTACACTGCAGCTAAACATTGATTTCAAAACTAACTATGAATCTAACTGTTTGTACGGTGTTTCACTACCCTTATACAGTTCACAGCAATGAGTTCATACTATTTAGATGGAAGTGAGTAAACTCATGCTGTTGTCTGGTATCAACAGAAAGAGGACCTAAATAGCTTTAAAACTTAAATATTTAAACGAGGAAAGCCAGCAGAAAGCCAGCTATTGAAAAATATTTAAATAAAAAATGTTTTTCAATTACCATAGAACATGCCTTGGGTCAGGTATATGCATTTCCTTTGTATTAAATTATAAAAAAAATATATAAATAGAAGTGGTAGCCTTCGATCGTTATTTCTGTTTAAAAGCTATTTAAGTCCTGTCTCGTTTGGTACCAAATTTGTTTAATTTGGATAAGCGGTTTGTTTACTATCCGGAAAGACTTTTATTACGAACTTAAAAAAGTTTGACTGTTGGAAAAAAATAACTGCAATTTACAGTCCCTGCTTAAAAGCTTAAAGCATAATCATGCCCTATATGTCAAATTCCAGTACACATTCCGCCTTTGTACCAAAATTCTTATCAGGTACGGAAATCTTGTGATATGGCTTTGCGCAATCTGATTGACAGTACTAGCAATGCCATCACAAAGAAAGAATTGGTATTGGGTATTTTTGTAGACAATGAGGGTATCTACTTTTGACAAATCCTTAGATGACACGGGATTCCATACCTGGCTTTAGCTACTTTAATATCTACCCACAGGCCTATTCAGATGATATGGTCTGTCTCACTAAAGGTCCTTCTCTCTAAGTTGTCTGCAGGAAAGTGCAAAAGCACTGAATATGATAAGCAGGTGTGGTCAGAATGGGCTATCCGCTAACCGACCCAAAACTGGCGTTGTGCTCTTCAATAGACGGAGAAAGTTAGGCGCCTTTGTTCTTTTTTCCACTGATTGTACTTCTTTTGAATTGGGGTATGCATCTACAGGATTTTGATTGCTGAGGAGGTATTACAATGTTGAGTTCCCAAATGTTCGGCGCTAGCTTATCCCTAATATTGATTACGTGCTTATCTATTGCAGAAGTCACGTAGGGTCAGCTGCAATGATAACCTCCTTCTTTTTTTAAGTATAGGAGGACAAACTTTCTGGAATTTCAGTCCCTCGGCACCTCCGCCTGGCTACGTGCCTACTTCCAAACTACTTAGGTCGGGTATGCGAATCTCCGATTAGCTATGTTCGTAAATATAAGAAGCTTGTTTTACGCTGGGTGACAAGTCACTCGAGAGTACCTGTTAATGAGACATTTATCCATTGGCTAGGGAGGGCTCCGACCAGACATTTATTGGTCCGCAGCCAGTTTATCCTTGGCTCTTGATGGTCGAACCAATCTACCCTCAGAAACTGGGTGAATATTTCGCTCAGAAATTACTGAGGGGCTTCGAGCGGTTGCCGGAGTGCCAAACTTATGTTACCCTTCATCTCAGAAGGTATTTATTTTCATTGAGCAGATAGGGCTGGCTGCAGAAAACTTCTTGGGCCACTTTTCGTGTCACTTTCGTATATGTATATTTATTTTTTCACACTTGGTTTACTAGGTTGCTTATTAGTGGGATAAGTCATAAGTGTATAGGTAAAGAGTGACGTCCAACAATAAATTGTTAGAGGATTTGAAATTATTAATTCGTTCACAATAATTTAACTAGCTACTTTTAAATATCGTCAGATTTTAATGCTAATGCCATATAAGGCAGTGAGTCAATCGTGGCCGAACGTTCTATGTTTTCCCCTCAAAACTGGTGATTCATCCACCGATTTCAACCCCTGAACCCTCTTCAAAATCCACCACTGGTAAAGCGCTGCCGGCTGCAGTGACGCAAACAAATTCTTCTATTCCATGGTCAACCGCTTCTGGTCATGCTTACAACTTTACAATCATTATTATTATTATTGTATAATAATATAAAGTGCTTGTTTCCCCCACACAACATTTATTCAAACTGATACAAGTTTTACTTTGTTGTTGTTAGATCACTTTTCACATGATTTAGATGACTATTTTATATGCAGCTGCAATTTTTATGAACTTGTGAATTTGCTGACTGTTTAGCGCGATTAAAACACGTTGTTTATATACACACATATGTATGTACGTACTCGTGTGTACCTTAGTAAATGTGTATGACATAATGGGCGCGTATACTCTTTTCTGAGTTTACGGCCGAGGTTTTCAAAAAAAAAAATACTTGTTTTTCATGCCTTCATTCAAAAGATGGCAACTCCAAATGTCATTTAAAACACGGAGTGAAAACTTTTCACGTAAGTGTATCAATAACCAATTTCTAGATTTCATCAAAATCAACGAAGGATTTTCACCAAGAATGTAATTTTCAGAGGCAAAAAGTTCGAATAAAACTTCCCACCTTTCACAAAAAATATGATGTACCTCGATTAGGGTTTTGAAATACTTACTTCACCTCAGGGTACCTTAGGACGCAAACAGACAAAACAGGCAAGGAAAATTTTAAAAGTTTATCAAAACATGTGGTCTATAAACGAAATGAGGCGCATTTTCGTATAAATGGGTTTGTTAAAAAGTGCAATTGGTGTATCTAGGGCGACGCTATCCCACACAAATGACACAAAAGTTATTGTATGATGCGGATTATGGGCGTCATTAGTCAGTCATTTTTTCAACGCCGACACGGAGCGACACGAAACAATGATAAACGATTTCTTTTCGGCAAAAATTAAATGATATGGCTGTGGTTCCAGCAATACGGCTCTGGGTGTCACAGGGCGGACGCCTAACCTTCTTCCAACAGCGATCA